CCCCATGTACCAGATGTCTATGGACATTATTTTGTGGATTAAGTCTCTTTTAAAAATAAATCTGAATTGAGTTGAAAAGAGAAAGGTTGGCATTTCAGGTCTTTACACTAACATGAATTCAACCTAATTTCAGCCATTCATCCATATCCCACTGAGCAATTTTCTGTTGATTATGGGTCTGAAAGGGTGTGTAAATGGTACAGAGCTGTCGAGATTAAAATCATGTTCATTGTGGTTCAGAGGTGAAAGTTTAGTAGATGTCTAGATCACACATAAAGCTACTTTCAGGTGCTCCTTATTCACAATGGGTCACCACAGCAGTTATCTCCACACGCTTAATCTGGCAGATTTTTGCAGCAGATGCCCTTCCTGACACAGCTGCCCAAGAGATTGGTGTTTCATATGAGGGGTCTTTCACCTGTTAGGCAAATATGTAACTACAGTTTTAAATCCAGTCTTTGTCCAAAGCAAAGCATGTTTCCCATGGGGTTACGCCTATACTGCATGGTGAGCTTATTTGCATGGAAGTCTGGGAATTAAAAACTTGTGGTTCCCACAATAGTAAGCATGATGTGGCTGTGGTTAGATCTGCTGCCTTGTAGTCTTGAAGACTGCAGAGAAAATGTTTCCTTCAAATTTTTTTTTGATAAAAAGGCTTTTGTTTAGATGCCCATCAAAGTTGTCTTCTACATCTTTTCACCTAACTTCTGCTAAGTAGAAGGGAGATATTCTCAATCTCGTGACATAAAATATAAAGTTGTAATAGAGGAGCTGTTTGGTGCTTGGGTCTATATAGTTTCCTTCTGAAAGACAACACAGATATGCATGTAGGATAGATCGATCGATAGGTAGGTGGGTAGGTGGTGATTTATGAGTAATATCGGAATTAATATATAAGTACATACACAAAAGATCTAATACATCTAAATGAGTTGTTGTTAGTGTGCCGGTAAAACACCAGAAATCCTCTGATTATGAAAGGTTTCCAGAATATATAGAAACGGTGAAGCTGGCTCTGTGAAGCTTAAGACGGTCTTAAAGTGTTTTTCACTGGAAAGTGCAGGAAACCTAAATGTATGTGTCCAGAAGGCTTTTAGTGCTTGGAAAGACATTATGAGATGTTAAGAAGGCTGTAAATGTGTCAAGTTTTCACACCAGGATATACCCAAAGATATACGTCCACACCAATGGCATGTTAGCACTTAGCAATGTTTTTACTCCACAAGTGTGCAATTTACTTTTAGTGTGACTTTAGGTTCAGAGCACTTTGAAGCACTCAGGAGCACTCAGGATGATGAGTTTGCCCTTCATGTCATCACGTCAGTGTTATCCTCAATAAAGCTTCAGTCCGTTAGGAGTAGAGCTTCGACCTTTCAGCTACAAAAGGTGAAGTTAAAAAAAATAAAAAATAAAAAGAAACATCACATCGGAGGCATGCACATATGCACTTCATAGCCTCTAAATGTAAATGTAGGGAAAACATATTCACATGCAAATTTACTTTTCTTTTTTACAGACCTGGTGACAGATTAAAATAAAAGTTATGCTATAATCTATTCAAACACATTTTACTGGAGGGTTAAGCTACCGAGCTGTAATTTAATTTCACACTTGATCTGTGTTGAACGAATTAAATTCATTGTTTTTGTCTGAATAGTACATCAAGTAGTTTACCCATAATTTGTTAATAAGGAATATCGTGTTTTCTGTCCTCAGTGGTCTGAGTAGGTGATTTTCCTTTCACACTAATTTGACATTTGCCTGGTCATGTGTAGCTTATGCATCCATTACTACCCACACGGTTGTTGTTTCTTCTTAATTAAGAGGCTTACAGCAGGACATTAACAGTGATAGAAGTGCATGTCTGCTGTGCCTAAAATTTTAAAAGCAAAAGGGAGTGGCACAGTATGCAAATTTAGAATTGTTTGCATAATTTTCTACTCATAAATTATTATGGGGTGACCTGCATGACACAGATTTTATTTCAAGCATAAAGCAGAAGTTAAAAAAACATCAACCTCAAACAGCACAAAGCTAGAGGAAAATACATGTTAAGTACACTTGAGCGTAATGTTAATGACTGTCTGTATTCATTTGTCACGCATAAGCATGCATTTTTATTTAGCGAAGATCAGGGTACTGTTATAGATGAATCTAGGTCAGTGGGTCAGGATTATTCGTATTGGACTATTACCGGTGTAAACTTTAAATATGTTTGATTTTACGTTTTCATGTCTAAATCAAATGTTTCAGTTTTAATTACAGTGTTTAACGCAGTGCTTAACACATATATTCGACCACCTGTCATAAAAACAAAGAAATACAAAAAATTCAGAAATCGGTCAAAAACTTGTTTAAACCTAAAAATGACATTTGCATTTATAAGCAAATAACAAACCAAATTCGTGTTTTTCTACCCAAATTTGAGCCGGCACTTTGGACCGCTCAGAAATATATCAAGCCAGACATTTAACAACTAAAACTAACAAAGAACTGTAATTTAGCATCTTCATCAAAAAGTAATCATCCATGCATCCATCTATTCAAAAAAATAATGAAAATGTGCTTTACTATTTTCTTTTCAGCTTTTTTTTTGAAATTCGGAAACATGAAATGGTTTGATTAAAGAGTTTGTGCGCATTGGTGGTTGTTAATCACTGTATATTTAAAAGATAAAAAATAAGTCATATAGTTATTTCCGATGAATGACTTTGATTCCATTATCTAGCCCATTCAATTTCATGATGTTATTCTATGTAAGGATATTAAAATTCACATTTTTTCTCTCCTCATGCTAAAGCCAGGACTTTAACTCAGTGATGTAAAATCCGCAATGAAAAGACCTGCATTGAAATGAAAAGACCTACTTTAACCCAAACTGACACAGTATAGGTTGGTATTATTGTTTGTGTTTTTGGAAAGGTTACTATATGGATGATATTTGTCACGGGTAAGATTTAGGAAAACAAGAATCGATATGAGCATAAACACAACACTATGTAAAGGCAGTTGACTCACAGTCGTGTAGGCGTCCTAATAAATGTGCAGCAAATTCCACCAAATTGACAGAGACTAAAACTAAAGTTCCCATGTACATTTATATTTTAGTTTGATTTCATTTTTTGTAATTTTAGTTAGAAAAAGGAGGATACGTCATTGTAACAGTGTATACATGATTGAAAACAAAGAAGTAGAAGTGTACTTTAACTTCTATCTACTTTTAATTAATTACTGGAATGCTGCAACCTTTCTGTTTATTGCATGAGCAAAAGTCATGTCAGACCGGTTTCTTGAAACATAACAAAGAGCTCTGGTGATGCAATAAATCGGACGATTGTATCAACTCTGAAGAAATTATGTGATGGCATTGTGTCAAACTCAAAGGATTGTTTCCAACATCCTGTGGAATCCATGACTGCACAAATTGAGGTTGTTTTGTGAGCAAACTGAGGTACTGAGTGTACCCATCTACCAGTTACAGAGCAACACTGACATCAGTTTAACCTCCTAGGACCTGGTGTCCACATATGTGGACATCACATTTTGGGTTATTTAGACCAAAATACTAAATTTTGCTCTACAAGGGCCTGATATCCACTTACGAGGACATTATACTGCTTCTGTTTTATCAAAAATTTTAAACGAATATCCTCATATGTGGCTCTTATTTTTGTTAAAAACAAAAATAAGGTAAAAAAAAAAATTTCTGGTAATTCTTTGTTTTTACATTAATTGGGCTCCAATATGCCCAAATATCAAAGAGAAATTAAAAATGCATGTCGTTTAAGAGTTCGGGTCTTAGGAGGTTAAAGTGGTGTTTGTGTCCAAAGAACATTTTTTTTAAATTACAACCTTCCGAGAAAAAATAACTGTCTCTAAAGCTGCTAGATTTTCCCCTTACTTCGCCATCTAGTCTCTGTGTCCATCTGCTGTTTGGTGAAGTCTGTCAGAGGCTGTGTGATGAAAACACTGCCTGAACTGCTGGAAACACAGAAATGAAACCAGTCTGTCAGTGTGTTTCATATGATAAAGATTCCTTTATTGTCGCTATACTTTGGCATCATACAGTGAAATTGGAGTAGAGCTTACATTTCAGCAGACTAGCATACTTACATTCTTACATGCTTTTCACTCATGCATAGTAGCGGTGTATGTTTTTTTTGTTTTGTTTTTTTCCTATAATTTCTGACATTAAGAAAAATGTTTCTTAATCAGATGACTTTCTGTAAAATTGCAAAATTATAGCTTTGGTCATTCTGCGTATCTGTCATGTAACAGATATAAAAATATACGCATCTGTTCATAGCTAAAAAGTTCCTTAAGGGCAAGAATCCTTTTTTTCTCTCACTTTCATCTGTGCATGTCAGATATTTTGTCCTTCCAGCAGATTGCTCTGCACACATTATTCAATTTATCTCTTATTGAGTTTGAAAAAGTTAGTACGGAGCTGCGCAGTAGGATCACAGAGGAGCTGTCTGCAGGGCTGCAGCTGGAAGGGTAAGGTCTTATCCTTATAACGATTAAAGTTCACTGTCTGTCTTTCTCTGCCGGCAGGAACAACATGCCGGAACGTCAGAAGCTTGGAACCAAGCTGAAGAAGAGGAGAGGCTTGCGGGCGTACGCCTGCCAGTGCAGCTGGATCTCCACGTTAGAGCCGACAGACCTCAGGGACCAACCTCAGCTCAGATGGGTCTGTGGCAAACACCAAGACTGATTTTCCCTAACCCCTAACCCTCAGTGCTAGAAAGACTGTCATTTCATTGGACGGCCACTTTAGTAGTACAAAAAAACTCCAAAATTTCTGAAAATGTAGGAGTTTTTTTTTTTTTTAAATTTTAAATATTGTATAAATGGTAAATGGACTGATTCTTATATAGCGCTTTTCTACTCTCCCGGAGTACTCAAAGCGCTCTATACAACATGCCTCATTCACCCAATCACACAAGCACTTTATCTATACGTAGTGCTTTCTAAGTACATTCACACATTCATACTCCGATGGATGCATCGGAGAGCAACTTGGGGTTAGTATCTTCCCCAAGGATACTTGACATGCAGACTGGAGGAGCCAGGGATCGAACCACCAACCTTCCGATCAGTAGGTGACCTGCTCTGCCTCCTACAGCCACCCAGGACAACAGGACAAAACTGCAAACGTGAACACATTTCTTTCTCACTCTTAACTGAAGTCTTTCATTGAACTACCAAATAAACAAATTGGTATTCTCTCTGGCTAGACACGTGGCAGCACATCTGCTATAATTTTGTTTGTATTTAACAAAATAAAAATGCAGACATAAGTGTACACATTAGTTTTTGACTGCCAGTGAAAACTGTTTTCTTTACAAATAACTCTTGCTGAGCTAACACAGCCAATCCCTCAGCATGTTTGTGCTCTCTGCTCATATTACCGTCATATTAAATCATTTTTGGGCTCAACAACAAACAAATCCTCCCTAAGAAAAAAGTAACTTCAAGGGCCAAATTGCATCACATCAATATACGAGCCACAAGTAGGGGTGACATGGGCTGCAAGTGGCCCCCCAGGCCGTGAGTTTGAGACTCCTGCTCTACACAGTGGGGCCCAGACTAGATTAAAATCCAGGTCCTTCTTTTCTCCAAATGTGTAGCTGTAAAATGATTGAAATTATCAATAAAATGAAAATTTTAATTGTTAATTGATCTATGAAATGTATCTTTGTATTTGTAGAGTTTGTTAACTTCTAGTTTGATAGCTGGCATCAAAATTTGCACCCAAGCGCAGAGTTTCGCCGTTTTTAAAAACAGTAATGTCAACATAATAATGTTTCTTTTTTAAAATGTCAGATGGCCTTAAAAGGCTTTGACTGCCAGAAGGCAGAGGAGTTCAAAATGAAATTTCTGCAGTATAAGGAGGAAAAACATCTGCAGCACAACAGAGCAAATGGCACTTGTGATATAACGGCTGTATTTATTTTTTGACCTGCTTGGTTGTTTTCTAATTCCCAGTGAATTAGAAAATCTGAGATAAACTCTATAGCTCTGTTGCTTAGCTGCTGCGTTTTTTGTTGTGCTCATCTGAATGTAAACATGTTTAGCATTAACCTCTTTTCAGAGTTATCACAACTCATTTGAGTGTGTGGATATAAAATCCAGAGGAGATTGGGATATGAAGCAAAAACAATTACAAAGAATATTAGGCATCTGAAAATGATTTAGGGACTACCAAATGAAACGCCGTGTCAAGGTAAGTATTTACTTCCTGTCGACTCCTCTTTAGCTGCTAAATCCTCCACAGGCTGGGCTCACAAGCTTTTTTTTTTCTTGCAGAGAGCTTCTGCTTGCAATCAAAGGCAACCGTAGGAGTTCTCAACAATGAGCCCAAAGCTGATCTAAACTTGCAAAACCAGGTGATGCTGCAGATTCAGCTCATAATTCTCTGTGGTATAATTTCCAAAGGGACTTTATACATGTTGGATGTTAATATTTGATTCTGGTAGGCCACAACAGATCCTTGCATTTTAGTGTGTAATAATTATGACATTATATCTGCTGTTAATCTTTACAGTTAATTAAATTATGGCATCGCTGTTTTTTCTCCAGCAGTGAATTTTGCAAACTGTAAAGACAACACTTGTCACCTCCTCCTCTCAGCTGAGAGTAGCTGCATGTAAACTGTGACTTTAGAGCTGCTCTGTTGGACAAACAGTGTAATGGCACCGTTTCCAAATCACCCCATTGGTCTTTTTATGCATTATGTTGTCCATAAAAAAACTGCAAAGAAAAAGAAAAGTTTGCATGTTGATAAATGTCCGGAAACATTTCCTGATGCCCGTTTGTCTTTCTGACGGCAGCATCTGGCTCCACACCAGTGTATTTGCTGTAATAAGCAAATGCATATTACAAGCTATTCAGTAATAGCAGTGTGTAAAAAGTGGGGTTAAGTATTAAAAACTTTTTAAATGTTAAAAGAAATGCTGTGTGAATGTGTGTGCACTCAAAGCGCTTTGACTGGAAAAGTGGTAAAACTGTTAGCAAAGGTTATTTAAATCAAGAAAAGTAAGCCAGAGAAACATGTAAGAATGAAGATATTGATGAGTTAAGACTCATCAATATCTTCATTCTATCTTTAAGATCTGACTGTAATTAGTTTTGTATTGCATCAAACGTGTGTTGCTTAGATGTTTTCTTTTAACATGCTCTATTCTTTCACCTGCAACGTTGGGGGTGTTAAACCATGTGAGGGTAAGAAAGTTGATTTACCCGTTTTAACAATTGTCAATATTAAGACTTATTGGGGGGTTTTAAGTTTTACAATTGTTTCTAAGGATCTGTATTTCTTGTGGATGTCCATCAAGAAAATACAAATTTGGTAGGTCAGTGATGATTTTATGCATGTTGATCTTGAACGTAACCTGAGGGCTGCACTGCAAAGCAAGTGCAACATAGCCAAGCTCTCTTTACTTAAGCTGACTTGACAAAACCTAAAACCTTAGTGAAGATAAAGGGGTATCACAGTGGCGGTGGTTATCGCCTTTCTCCGTTAACCCAGGCATTAAAATGTGTAACGAACCTGAAACGTCTTACAGCAAATCGCAACACTGCTGTGACAAAAAAGAGAGAAACATTCATTCATTCTCAGCATCACAACAAAGCTTTAGAGCACGGCTTCACTGAGTCGTTTTTATAAAATGTGGAAAGACATGTTGATAAATACAGAACATATTTCCTGAGCAAACAATCTGTTCAACACTTAACGCATAGTGTAAATTAAATGCTGAGTGAAAATATGACACCTCGAGATGGTTTTACACTGAAACTCTGACCTTAACCACTGATCTTAAAACTCAAAGTCCAACACAAATCATACCTGAACCATCATTGCAACCCTGAAAATGCAGAGTCACACCTGAATTTACTCCTAATAAGCTCCTAGTCCTGCTTTATAGTGAAGACCTCAAATCAAAATGATAAAACAAATTAAAAGTATTTCTGTATTTTGTGCATAATATTAACCACTTAGACTTTTCTTAGTCTAAAATGAAAACCATCTCCGTCTTACAGCAGAACTTTATTTAAATGTAAATGTTCTCTGTTATATACCGTTTTTTAATCAGGACTTAAGCCAAGTCTTAGTCAATTTGGAGATTGTACACATCTTTTTTTCTTCTATCAACGTGACATTAATGCTGTAACGTTTTCCACAATACGGTTTCATATTATATAAATGACTAACTGAACTAAAGCAGCAAAGAGCCCTGCTATGAAACCGCGTATTAGCTATCTCAGCTCGTCTCGTTTCGAGGAGGCTGCGTTTCCTCCATGTTGTGACTTGAAAATCTGCAGTTTTCTGCACCGTCGAGCTTCAGTAATGGCTTTTGAAGTGACGACAGTTTGATGCCTCCGAGATCATTTTTATGCAGCGCTTTAAAGTCGAGTCACAGTTTAATGAGATTAAGCTGTTTAGCTGTAAACACAGATAAAGCCACATGGAGTCACATCAGTGGTGTACTTAGTGAGCAAATGGGAGCAAGGTGAGTTTTCCTGACATGCGCTGAGAGTTGCTAACACGGCCGATTAAAAATCTCATAAATCAATTACTGATGATCTAAAAAAAAAATTTAGATTTTGGTTCACAAAACCTGGTGATGGTTTGAAGTAAACGGTAGATCATTGGGTTTATTTAAAAACTTGCACCCACTGCAAAAGTATAGGACATTATTCTTTATCCATAGAAACCCTAATCTTATCTCAGATTAAAGCTTTAAATCTGGACCTATTTAGCAAATTCTTACTGCCAACAAATCCAGTAAAACAAAACACATCAACATTGGTTTTTCAGCATTGTGCCTTTTGCTTCCCCCTAAAGAAGCCAGCTCATTAAAACACTAAAATAGCTACACTATAGATTACAGCCACAGCTTCTCTAAAAGAAAATAAATCGTGCATTTCTCGGGGACTGGTCTCATGCACATTGGGTGCCTTGCAGGATGGTGTGGGTGAAAATGAGCCGAAGCTACTTTGTGTATGTTTTAGTAGTAATAAAGGTTGAGTGGGTACATTCAGTGTTAGTTTGGTTAAATGCAAGAACAATTTACAGTGTTCTGAAAAAGTTTTCTGCTCTCCTTCCTAAGTTATATTTCTTTATATTTTCCTATGAGTGGGTGCATGGATTTATTGAAACTATGGAAATATAGTTTATAGGCCAAGAAAAAGATTGTATAAATTTTAATGTGCTTGAAAGGTAAGCAGAGGCTTCAGTTTTCAGACCCCTCTTCTATGGAACCAGCTTCCAGTTTGAATTCAGGAGACAGACACCATTTGTCATATAATTGTTGGGTTTTTCTCAGTATGTATTTTTGTAGGGTCTACCTTACGATATAAAGCGCCTCGAGGCGACTGTTGCTGTGATTTGGCGCTGTATAAATAAAATTGAATTGAATAGAATTTAATTTAATTGCAAGTCAGTAATTAATATCATCACCTTTATTCTTCAACACAGCCGGTCTTATGTAAACGTTCTTGTAACAGCTGTCCAGGCTTCTTGAAGAACATTGAAAACTCTTCTTTGGATGTTGGCTGCCGTTTGTTGTGTTCTCTGTCAAGACAATCTCACACTGCATCAATAATATTAAGGTCGGGGCTTTGTGTGTTTTTCTATCCAGTTATGCTTTTATTGCATTGACTTTGTGTTTATTATCTCTGAAAAATTAAGCTGTTGCTTAATAAAAAAAAAAAACACCCCAAAACATTCCTCCTAAAAAGATGGAGGTACGTGGGCTGGACTGAAAATGAGTGAAAAAGCAGCCATTTCCCCCCCAAAAATTTGAAAGACCTTCGCAAAAACTTGAGAATTATGTCTCAAGACCACTTTGAAAAGTATGAAAGCAAAATGTGAAGAAATGCAGGGTAACTCTAGACTTTTGCACAGTACCCTAGTTGAATACTGCATTTTATAACATGCCTTTAGTGTTACATAAATTTTTTTTAAAAATAAGATAAAAGTTCATTCTTTTTCCTCCTCATATTGTTTTCCATGAAGTCCAATATACACAGAATGAAAGCTCAAATCAGCATGTACATATATATAAGGTGTTGAATAACACCATATATTATGGTGCCATCATGCCGCACAGTAAATGTCAGGGTAGAGCGCATATCGGTGGTTATATAATACGAGTCCTACATAAATAATCGTGGAGACTTTTGCAGGAAGATTTTGTGGTTTTCAGTAAACAACTAGACCGCATCACATCTGCCACGAGTGGATGAGTGGTGGATAAATGTTCTTCAGTCTTCTCCAGCGCTCCATAATCACACATATTGTGTTTAATACCGGCAAAATCATTGCTGAGTTGTTCATAATGACAGTTTTTGCTTTCTTCCTTTAAGTGGGAAATAATGATTTGATCATGACTCAAACATGAGTCCTCCTGAGCAGTGATGGGTAAGACAACGCCGCGTTACCCATTGCTACACCTGCGTCCATTGTTTTCTCTTGTATGTAAGTGTTCACACCAGCAGTGTATTGATGTGCATCATCTCATCAGGAGATGTCCTATTTCCAAGCATTAACATTCATGAGCGTGTGCTGCAGCTTTCAGCCCATGTCGGGCACTTTGCTTTGCTGTCAGTGAATCATTTTTCTGAGCTGAGATGTCAGTGAAATAGCTGCTGTGATTGCAAAGTCATCAGACAAAATAAGAAGTGATCACAGCAAAAGCTTTCCACTCAAAAATACAAAACCAATATTTTCAGAATTATTTTCTGCGGATTATTTTAAAAGGCTTCACTTTGGAGTGTAAAAAGCTTCTTTGAGCGAATGAAGAGTGAAAGTTTACTGTGACGTGATGCAACACAGACGCAACCAAACCCTGTAATTCTAAAAGCAAAGCAAGGACTGACGTGAAAACTTAGAAGGTTGTAAAGCTGCTGGATACTAAAAGACTGATAATGTACAGTGGGGCAAAAAAGTATTTAGTCAGCCACCGATTGTGCAAGTTCCCCCACTTAAAATGATGACAGAGGTCAGTAATTTGCACCAGAGGTACACTTCAACTGTGAGAGACAGAATGTGGAAAAAAAATCCATGAATCCACATGGTAGGATTTGTAAAGAATTTATTCGTAAATCAGGGTGGAAAATAAGTATTTGGTCAATAACAAAAATACAACTCAATACTTTGTAACATAACCTTTGTTGGCAATAACAGAGGTCAAACGTTTACTATAGGTCTTTACCAGGTTTGCACACACAGTAGCTGGTATTTTGGCCCATTCCTCCATGCAGATCTTCTCGAGAGCAGTGATGTTTTGGGGCTGTCGCCGAGCAACACGGACTTTCAACTCCCGCCACAGATTTTCTATGGGGTTGAGGTCTGGAGACTGGCTAGGCCACTCCAGGACTTTCAAATGCTTCTTACGGAGCCACTCCTTTGTTGCCCGGGCGGTGTGTTTTGGATCATTGTCATGTTGGAAGACCCAGCCTCGTTTCATCTTCAAAGTTCTCACTGATGGAAGGAGGTTTTGGCTCAAAATCTCACGATACATGGCCCCATTCATTCTGTCCTTAACACGGATCAGTCGTCCTGTCCCCTTGGCAGAAAAACAGCCCCATAGCATGATGTTTCCACCCCCATGCTTCACAGTAGGTATGGTGTTCTTGGGATGCAACTCAGTATTCTTCTTCCTCCAAACACGACGAGTTGAGTTTATACCAAAAAGTTCTACTTTGGTTTCATCTGACCACATGACATTCTCCCAATCCTCTGCTGTATCATCCATGTGCTCTCTGGCAAACTTCAGACGGGCCTGGACATGCACTGGCTTCAGCAGCGGAACACGTCTGGCACTGCGGGATTTGATTCCCTGCCGTTGTAGTGTGTTACTGATGGTGACCTTTGTTACTTTGGTCCCAGCTCTCTGCAGGTCATTCACCAGGTCCCCCCGTGTGGTTCTGGGATCTTTGCTCACCGTTCTCATGATCATTTTGACCCCACGGGATGAGATCTTGCGTGGAGCCCCAGATCGAGGGAGATTATCAGTGGTCTTGTATGTCTTCCATTTTCTGATGATTGCTCCCACAGTTGATTTTTTCACACCAAGCTGCTTGCCTATTGTAGATTCACTCTTCCCAGTCTGGTGCAGGTCTACATACTTTTCCTGGTGTCCTTCGAAAGCTCTTTGGTCTTGGCCATGGCGGAGTTTGGAGTCTGACTGTTTGAGGCTGTGGACAGGTGTCTTTTATACAGATGATGAGTTCAAACAGGTGCCATTCATACAGGTAACGAGTGGGGGACAGAAAAGCTTCTTACAGAAGACGTTACAGGTCTGTGAGAGCCAGAGATTTTCCTGTTTGAGGTGACCAAATACTTATTTTCCACCTAGATTTACGAATAAATTCTTTACAAATCCTACCATGTGAATTCATGGATTTTTTTTTCACATTCTGTCTCTCACAGTTGAAGTGTACCTCTGGTGCAAATTACTGACCTCTGTCATCATTTTAAGTGGGGGAACTTGCACAATCGGTGGCTGACTAAATACTTTTTTGCCCCACTGTACAACTGATTAGTCTGATGACTGTGATTAAATATCTTTACACGAGATCTTCGTTGTGGTTTATGCAATTAGAGCATGTTATGATCTTTCCACTCCTCAGAATAGCACTCTATCTGCCTCTTCATGCATCCAATCTGCAGTATGATCTGTTTCTTGTGAGTGAGACGATGGAACATCGGGTCCGTAGGCAGAAACAACTTGTTTGGTAGTTGAAGTTGTCACACAGTTAATCGCCAAAATGTTTCCAGTTGGTTGGTATCTTATTTTTCCATCCACACTTTGAAAAGATAACTGCATGCACTCTGAGCACAGATGTTGTGGTCCTACATTATTGCACATAGTTGGGCATTGAGGAGCTGTGGATAGAATTTGTGCCTGACAAGAACATAAGACATGTACTAGGCCATGAAATTGCAAGGTGTCTTAACTGACTGTGACACATTGGGCTCTGAATTTTGAAGCCTCAGCATTGCTGTTTTGGCTGCCACCAGAAATGAGTGCAAAGTTATCAGCTAAGGCCAAATCGAAACGCAACACAAATCGAAATTGAAGCAATGAACCAAGGGAATTTGGTTGGTGCTAAATTTTCTCAAAGTAGGTATTTCTTTCAGAGGAGGAGATCCAGAGGGGATTCGTTCTTCAGGGAGCTGGCTGACAAATGGTTGACGCACCAAGAAGAGTCTAACAGAAGAGAGTAAGTTCACCCAGCAAAGCATGAACTAGACGCTAAACTGAAGCTGTACGAGTTGGTGAAGAGTGGGTGACTGAGACGGACCTTAAATACACAGGTGGGTAATGAGCCGAGTGAGTGCAAAAGCCAGAGATCTTGTGGGAATCTGCAGGAAGAGCTCACGGGAGCAGTAAAACCCGCTGACTCACAACCCCACACAAACACTATCTTCTGGGAGAAAGAGAAAAATAAAAGTACAGAAAAAAATGAAGTAGGCCAACCAGTCGGCAACAAAAATAGCATTTGTCAGATTATTCCTTTTAGAAAAAACTGCTGAAGAGTTCCAATGTGATATATAACACATATAACACGCAGCTCTCTATGCTGGTATACCTGTCAGTCAAAAGGCCACACGCTTACGCGTCAGCCTTAATAGTGTCCATATGGATGGATTTAACAGAAAAAACACCCACTATATAGTTGCAATGAGGGGAGAAACTAACCATAGATACCTGGCTGTAAACATGTTTTTAATGCTGTTAACTTGGGCTCGACTCAACCTTAAGCCATCATGGACTTGACTTACAAACAAGAGCAATAAGACAGGATTGAGATACCTGCAACAGAGTCCTTCATGGTTTTACAAAGGCCTCTAGAAAGTAACAGAAAGGAGATCACTTTTATTTTGGAGTATTTCACAGTTCTTATGTGGATCCCACCTCCACCAGACTAAAAAGTTAAACAAGCTGGAAGAGTTCTTCACAAGCAGGAAAGGAAATGGAGCAAATCCCCCCTAAACTAAGGAATCACTGCATGTAAGATGGCATCAAATACAGAATACCATCTGAGACAGAGTTGGCTGGAAACGAAAAATGCCACTTTTCTCATTCAAAATATTTTATCAAATAAGGACTTAAATCAATATCACAGAAGTAAATAAATAGTTTTATTTATTTGTGTAATGCATCATTCTTTTGTCAGAGGAACAATCACATCAGTAGAAAACTGAAAAACACTTGTTCTTTGCTTTCTTGCATGCTGTCACTCAGTATTGCCAAACCTCTTTGTTTGTGAACCAATGTTGGTAAAGCAGTCTTCCTCACACCACAGTTTGTGAAGAAATTCTGCACACTGTTTATTGTCTTTGCTTATTGGCAGAAAGCATTAGGACCTGCTGGGATCCTTTTGACGCTCAGCCGGGGGCAGTTATCCGGCTCGTCTGATATATTGTCCAACAATTATCGTATCTGAGGAAAACCCAGGCTCTCCTGCTGCGAGTGTGAAACAACAGCTTTGGGACAGAGGCCATTCACATCTCTGTGGTGTGATAGACTCAGCAGTGACAGCTAATGTGAAACAGGCTGCTCTTTGTTGAAAGCATGTGGCTGCTGGTTTTGTAATATGTTAAATGTGTTTAGCGATGTGTGACTGTTTTACTGACTCATGAAACTCAGTGTTCAGTCGCCGCTGCTGAGTAAAATTTATAAGCTTAAAAAATGAAAATCTCAGCAGGTGACGTCAGATATACACCCAAGACTTTAAATTTGTTTCCCGCAGCTTCCCGCTGTCCAATCAATACATTTTATCAGATGCCCTTTTAATGATTCCTGGAGTCAGGATTTACACAACCCCATCTCCAGTAGCCTTGGGTGCCTTTCTTCTAAATAAACAATTGGATATGCAAAGGAGGATTCCTGAGTACTGCTCCACAAAATATCAACAGGGAGGTGCAAAAAGCCTTTAAAGCCACTCAGGCTGAAAATTGCCAATTAAAAGAGGGAAGAAAGGAAGCCATGCAGCACATCAAAGAGATGTTGGCCAGAAAGTTCACAATGTGCAGCAGCCTGCGTGAATGTGAACTGAAAACAGAAAAAAAACCAGATGGTATCATTGTACAAAGAGGAGTGTGATGCTGACCACATTGCTGGAGGTGGATGAAAAGGAAAAAGTTGCTGGACAACCAGCAGGAGGGCCAGTTCAGAGGCTGATAATCCATTTAGCGATTGCCAAGAGGAAGTAAAAAGCGGCAGTGAAATACTGGACATGGACACATGGGCTTATTATAAAAGTTCAAAAAAGACAAAACCTTGATCCAGCGAAATCCAGGACACCACAGAAGAGCCTGAGTGGGGGTGACAGAAAGAGAAAAGAAATACTCGCATAGAAACTATAAGAAACATGACCAGGATAAAGAAAGTCAGGAAAAGAAATAACCTAAAGGAAAGCAGCTGAGAAAAAGAAAGAAGAAAGAATGGAAGAAGGTCGAGAAACAACTGACAAAAGTCAAAGTAAGCAGTAAAGGAAGGAAAAGAAAAAGCTGAAAAAACAAGAAAAAGAGGCAAATAAGGCAAAAAGGGCAGGGGGAGAAAGGGAAGACAAAGAGTGGCATCTGGATTTGAAAGCATGCGATGTCTACAGAAAGCTGCTGATTCAGCTCAGGCTGAACAGGGGGTTTCTCTTCCCTTTCTTTTCTCCATTCTCCCAGCTTCATCTTCACCTCTGTAACTTTAATGCACTGCCACCTCTGTCTTTCCTCACTTTCTGTCAGCAACATCTTGTTTGATAAAAAACACATTTTATCATATCTAAAGCACTGACAGACTAATATTTTAGTGGCTTACTAAATGAGGATTCAGACATGATAACCTGAAGTATTTGAAATAACTCTCACTGATTATTTTGTTAGAGCAAACAGTTCCTGCAGCTCTGTATGCAAGCACGCACATCTTTACTGTCCTGTACAGACTCTGGTTTGGACTCCCTTGTTTCTCAAGGAGTGACGGGAGAAATGGAAGGTCGAAATGTGACTCAGATTCTCTGCTGTGAGACAGTCGGAGGAACAGAATGACAGCACTGCTGCTGAGGAGGAGGAGGAGGAGGAGAAACGGCAAACAACAGCCGGAGAGATGAAGCTTTGAGCATGGTGGGATTGATGAGGTTTCAGCTGCTGTCCTGGAGAAAATTGAGGACAAATATAAGCTGCACTCAGGGCTTGAATATTTGATCATTTAACTAGAAACGCCCAGCATTCCAAACATAACATCTGTTTTTGGTTCGTTTTCCTTCTGGCAGCTTCATTTAATCACATTATCAAAATAAACTTTTGCTCTGTTGCTCTGATAAAGGGGGAAGTATTCCCTCAGTACACCACGCTTTATTTGCAAAATTCAAAATCTGTTAATCGCTCTCAACTATTTTGCATTCGTTAGTCTGATAGAGACAACCGGAAGCACAGCTTAAAGGCTGGAGGAGGGTAAACATCCCAAAAGTTGTCTTGAAAATATTCTTCTGAGACTCTTGGTAATTTCCTGTGCTTCCTTGTTACGCACTGTTGGCATTTTTATGACTTCCAATTCTTTTATCTGTATGGTATTTTATAATAAAGGCAGCTATAACAGGGCGTCTGTTGATGACAGCTGCTTTGTACTGTTTGGAAAAAATGCTGGGTCTTCAGTTCATTAAGCCTCTGTGGCCATCTGAAGGCAGCAAACAATAGATGTGCTGTCAGAGTGCCGTGATATGAAGCACGACCGTCCACTGCGTTTGTCTTCAAACACTTGTTTGGGCCTCCTTGAGATGACTGTTACCATACACGCATTAGACCAGTGGCTCGAAATCCTTTTTGTTATGCTGGAGACTTTGAGTTTTGTTAATAAATGGAAAATGGGCTGATATATATTCACCCCTTTATTACTTAAGCAAAGAACTTTTTACTGCAAGCCGCATCAGCTCATCCTCACAGCACTGTATTCTGCAGCTTTAAGCTCCTCACGGACGCTTCAAAACGCAGACTGCATGAGCTGGGAATCAAACCACCAACCTCATGATTGCGCCGTCCCCTGATTTAACCTCATCTCTCTATGCTCACCTTCTTCTTTCTTCTTTTGCCGCCCCACACAGAACCTGGTTCCTCCAAGTGCTTACCCACAGGAGATCGATTGTTGTGGTTTTCTCACTAACACTGTAGGGTCTTTACCCCACAACATCAGCCACCTTGTTGTGAACTGGCACTATACAAATACAAGTGATTTGCTGGGATTCAAAACTTACTGTAAGTTCATCTTCAAATATCTAAAATTACTGTTTTCTATTGAATCAGTTTAACAAGCAAATATCAGGTGATTCAAATTTATTCCTGTGTGCTGTTTTATCTTTTAATTGTATGCATGTAGATGCCATCTGCTGTAAAGCCTGAAACCAATAAGGAGAGTCTTGATATTTAAGGATGCCTCTGGCTGCGTTGGCCTAAAATATCAAATTAAAAGTTAAAGAAGCTGTGCTGTGTTAGCTGTGCCAGGGATACCAAGAGGACCAAGAGGTTCTTCAGGCTGTAGAAAGCTGCATATGGAATCAAGCAATAGTGCTTTGAATATCAGCTCAGTTAGATATTTGTTTATTGCTTATTTTTGTGTGGGGATTGAGTACAAAAACAGCTCATATGGAGCCCATGCCAGCATCTGAACAGGGACTCAAACCAGCAACCTTTAGGCTACTAGTCAGCTGCACAGGCCTCTGTACTTGATTGTCTGCTTCGTGCATCTGTTTGTTTAACGGATTAAGCTAGAAAAGACCCTGCTGTTATTTTGTTTCTATCTAAACTTTAATATGTTACTTTAGATTGAGGCTTCCTCCAGACCAGCAGGTGGCGGTGTAGTTTTCATGCAGATAAGAAGCAGTAGAATAAAAAGCAGAGGGAACTAAACAGGAAGTGGTGGATGAGCAGCAGCACCCATGCCTGCAGGAGCTGTTGGGAGCGATGGAAGATGCAGAGTTTGAGGATATTTTAGATGACTGGTTTATCGAGTCACTGAAAACGTGAGTAAACTTTTTACTTTGGTTGAAACGTCAAGTTTGTATTTTTATTACTACTTGCTAACTAACATTACCAGCTTTGCAAAGCAAACTCTTAATTTTAGGCATTTTACCCCCCAGCAGCTTTAGATTGTTAATAAGCACCACAACAAAACATTATTTAAATATATTTATGTTTATATTTAATTTATTTAAATTCGGCTTACGGATATCTCACCTAAAATTTAAATAAGCTCCAAATTGTCACATTGTATTAGTTCATCTCCTACACTTATTACTCGTGGTTTAAGAGGTGTTATATGTGTGATTCATTTTCAAAATAAATTTAGTGAATTCGAGTTTTATAATCTAGACGAATTATATGATATGATGTCTCGACTGTAGGAATCAAGTTGTAGGTAAAAAGAAAAATGTTCGCGTTGATTCTGTAGACAGAAAATATTAAATATCATAAATTGTGAATGAAGTCTGGTGTCACGGTTAAAAGGCCTATATTTTAAACAGTACGATTCTGTATCCCTTTATTGTACATGATCAACGACATGCTGGGTGCTCCACAGGGACTAAATATTTAGACAACAGGAATAAATACCAAACAGCACTACATACAAAGGAGAAGGCGCACAGTAAAATGGACATTTGCAAGGAGACACCAAACAACTTTAAATAAACATCAGGAATGCAGCTGTAGGGCTGTTTTTGAAAGGTTTGCATATAAAACTAAGGCAGAGTGAATTTATATTTTTCTGAATTCCTTAAAAAAACCTTTTTAACTCATTATACTTTTTAAAATCTTATAGAGTGACTACAACAAACATAAGGTGGGCTCACCTTCACTTTTGACTGTAGCGCTCAAAATCACGTCACGTCAAAATTAAGTTTCACTGTATTTTATGTTAAACTCTATACAGAAATTCACAAACCTTTTTCCTTCAGGTACAAAGACCTTCATGTGTATCAGCTTGAACATCCCACCCAGGTCCTCGAGTGGACGTCAGGGAAGAGTAAGTTGATCTAATAATTTAAAATATGATGATGTGGCTTGAAGAACATGGTTCTGATTTTGCTGTTATAGAAGACAGCTTTTCAGCTCTTTCTTCATTAGCCAAATCATTTGTATTAATCGTTTTTTTTTTTTGGTGTGTTTGTAGGCGTCTGTGTCGCAGGCTATAGTCAGTCCAAAAATGAAATTTTAGAACTTCGCTTGCCGCTGAAACTTCTTGCTGATGAAAATAAGGTAAAAATCAGAACATTAGTCCAAACTTTGAGTTTATTTTTCTCTAGGAGGCGTTTCAGATGTTACTCTGAACTTTTCCTGTTTGCTGTTGTGTTCAGAGTCTCTGCGCAGAACGGGACTTTAAAGTTTCCCATGGTGGTTTCACAGATGGTCCGGTTCGCTGCCTCACACACATCCCTGGAACAAGGTGAGTTCAGACCAGTGCTGGATAAATTACCCTTATAAGTAACATGTTACATTAAAGGTACGGCCAGTCATTTTTGAGGTTATTTAATAGAAACAACTTCCAACAGAGTGTTTTGCAGCTTATGGAAACCGCCACGTTCCTCCCCTGTATTTGTAGTAGCAGCCACTAAGGACTTCACTTCTGACTAAAACTGCTTTATGCATGTGACAAAGGCAGAGGAGAAGAGAAGTCATAGGCATTCCTACGGTGCAGTGGAGCGACACTAAAATTCGTACCTGCACCTTCATACTCAAGATATGTTTGATCACTTGAGAAAAGGTCAACTTGACAAAAGAAATGAAAACGGGAAGGGAAGAGACACACGACTTAATTAAAAATCATCCTCTTCCTTCTCACCTCAAGCCTCATCTCCTGAACTGAAGTCTGGGCTTTAACACAACAACTACAGCTGGTTATAAGTTAATATTAGTGAAAATCTCTTTGAAGTGCATCTAACACCAGCTAACAGCGGGAAAAACAGCAGTGCGACCAACAGTTAAGTATATCCTCAACTACTCTCCTCAGTTTAGCTGTCATCAATCAGAAGTGAGCTTCTCTGACTTATTGGCCTGTACTGGACTAAGAAGCATCCACATCCATTTCCTCTGGAGGAGACTGTAAAACTTGTAACTGGTGAATGTTTATCAGCCAGAATTGACAGCTGAGGTAAACAGAGGACTGACAGCCAGAGGCAAAAACAGAGGCAAAAACTCTTCTGCAGAGCCAGTCCAAACATGGCGTACAGTCTGTATCCAACGTTTTTGATCTCTGCTGACTAAAACATGTCTGTTCTACAGCAGCTACCATAGGTAGGATTATACACTTTTAACAACTATATAATTTGGAGGGTTAAGGAAACAACTCAGTTGACTACAGTCTACAATTTACTTCCATTATAAAGTAATCTGTGAGATTACAGCCTTATCTGCTGAGAAAATTAACTCCTTAACAATAATAAATACAACATTTCCCAAGCTCACGGCTGTATCCCAAGAAATCAGGGAGAGACAGAAACTTTGCAGATCCTTCAGGCTTTTATTCAGCAGCAGAAAAATGTAACATTTTAACAGTTGTTGATTAATTCTTTGAAAAGTACTTACCTGCTTATTTAAACTGCAAACAAGGCAGTAATTGGAGTACTGTTACTTTGTTTCATCAAACACTGGTTGTGACCCACTTCAGGGAGAGAAACTTGCTTCACTCTTTCCAAGGTTCTCTAATCCACACGATGCCTTTTCCTGCACCAAACTTTGGTTTCAAAGCTTCTTTTTGGGGAATAATGAATGAAAAGAGGTCTTCTTCAAAAAAGGCACACTGAAAAGCACCCAGCAAGGCTGGAGCACAGAAATTTTTATTCAGGTACTCTTTATATTTTCTACAGTTCAGTTTATTATTATTACCTATCACGTATTTAACACATTAACAGATTTATAAAAGTACAGAAGGTCAGTCAAGAGCAATTCAGAGTATTGATGAACTGTTTAAAGGTTTTAAGCCTAAATCCTAAACATAATTCTTCAGTTGTCTAAAAATCATCATAATTGTATTAAACTTGTTTAGACTACAAAATTACTTACAAAAACATTTACTAGATGAGCTGATAATGACAATAATTAACTTTTAACAAGTCATTGCACCAGAAGAGGTGACATATCGTACATCATGGTGCGGTGCACAGTGTGGAGGGTCTGTGTTTTGTAGTTGTTATAGGTGGTGTGAGTCAGTGCTTGTGTAGATCTTTAGATCTGATGGTAAATGTGAGGGGACGATATAATCAGTAGCTTCGCAGCCTTTTGATTAACGTTCTGTTATTTCGGCAGGTGTGCTGTGACCAACGACGGGCTGAGCTCCGACCTGCAGGTGTGGGACCTTGGAGGAGAAGAGAGCGGTGAGTGTGATTTTCCCTGAAGCTCTCCTGCAGGACTGCATGTTTAAAATGCATGTGACTGCACTCAGGGTTTTTTCAAAGTACAAAAGTTAGGCACTTACCTAAAACATTTTATATAAGAGAAAAATAATGACAAAGAGAAATTTAGTAAGACAGGTCAGATAACCAACAATAAACCAGAACAAAGCATAAAAAACATGAAATTAAAGCCAAGAAAAAGAATAGGAATTAGATAAAATTAAACTTAACAGCAGTCCAGTAAAATTAATTAAGACCAAGAACTAATTATGAATAAAAGCTCACTTAAAACCTACAGAGTAGAATTTACTATCAGTCAAAAACTTGCAAATCATCGCTGTGATTAACGGTGATTTTCAGTGATATGAATTTAAAGTGACATGATCTCAGTACAAAAAGCACCAGATTTTCTGGGCATTATGAGCTGAATGTATTCATCTAAATGCAAAAAGGTTCTCACTTATGATAATGTTTCACAGAGTGCAATAAAAAATATTCAAGGCCTTTTTAAATGCAACTCTTATCTACAGAAGCTGTTTTGAGACGACTCACTGAATGGATGAACCTGTTTTATTCAAGGTTAATGACTTAACTAGTAAAAATCACTGAATCATAACAGACTAGATCATAAAAGAAACTTTTCCTGTTGAATTCAATATTTATTTATACAATTTTTTTTTGGGGGGGGGGGAGATTTTGCTGAAATAGATTGAAGTTAAAATTGTTTCTGTTGTAGCCCAAAGAAGACAAATATAGGAGGGAACCTAACCTGAGAGAAGAGTATTTGTATCATATCGTGCACATTTCCTGTGTTGAATTGTTCACCAATAATAATTGAGACCAATTCTTGGACATCAGAAAGGTGGTCAGACGTTGACTGCCCAACCACTGTTACAGGGTTCAAATTGATTCCTGACACCTGATACTTCACGTGTCTGACTGTCTTAATTTAAATGAAAGTGACGTTTAGACAGACATCGCCACCAATTAATGCAAGTTAAAAAAGATTTTTGACTAGATTAGAGCAGTGAAGCCTGGTCTTGTGGGGTTTCACTTCACGTACGCTTTCAATTTCTGACCTTTAACTGTGTTTAATATGAGAGTTTGCTATTGTAATAGCATGTATAGGAAGAAAATACACAAGGGAATAATAGGTCCCTTTTCCTGGTTTACAGCAAACAAGGTAAAGGGAATAATTATAAAAATGTGGTGAGGCACTTCTGACAGTGTGACTGGTTTTCTTTTCCTTGTCATCCATGACAGATGTGATCAGGAGAACAGGAAGTATTAAAGGGAAAAGGAGTGCTTCAGAGAGAGGCAGCAGGATCGCAGCTCGACCCTCGTCAGCACCACAAGTTCTTCACGGAGCTCAGATCAGCGACGTCCAGCTGACTGAACTCGCATCAGGAGAGACTCTCTATAAACTGGGTAACCCCACATTTACAGTTATCAGTTTATGTTCACGCTCGCCTGTGAGCATGGAGACTATAAGATTGGTTTAGTTTGTGTCTTATTTAAGTAGAGGTGAAAACTTAAGTCGAAGTGGTGCTTTATGCAGTTTTGTGAGACTGTTCATCTCACTGTTGTGAGATGTTGAAATTTGAGAAATGTCATAAATGCTTAAAAAAAATTGGGAGACATAGTCTTACTCTTTCTCAAGAAAATATAATCTAGATTCAGATTTCCATCAGCATCGAGACTAATCGTGAATGGCAGCGTGAAAGAATTAAAGTGACTTTGTGTGGTTTGTTTTATGCTCAAAATCTAACTGTATTCTTACTTTTGGTAAACTGGTTGTCTCTCCTACTAATACTATAGTAATGTAAATCATATTTGTAGTAAAGTTTTTATAATGAAAAGATAAACTGTTCTTTACGTATAGTTTTTCTTAAAACCGTGTAAGTATTGAGCTTACAGTTGGACTGGGATACAATCACTGTTTGTGAAGGACATCTAAGATTTAGTGTCACATGAAGATGAAAAAAAAACTGCATGTGTTCCTGAGGAGAGCGAGGACAAAAGCTTTCTGTGCAGCCAGGAGATGTTTTCCTGCTATTCTTTTGTGGCTCGCTTAAGTAAGTTTGATCTAGAAAGAAAGGCTGAGCTGTGTTATGATGCAGTATTATGTTGTAGGCCACCCACTGTAACCCCTAGGAAGATCTGTAACTTTCCATTTCTTTTCCCTGCTTTATTTTATTTATTTTTCCACACAAAAATAGTTTGCTGAAGCTCTGAGTGGAGGTGAGACTGTGGCTTTAAGGCCTGGAAGTAATACAAGTAAAGTGAGCAAACAATAATTAATGTTCCATGGTTCCCAAAAATTAAAAAAAATAGTTGGCATCAAAGAGAGCGTGCATCCATTTTTTTTCTTTCCCCATGAACCATTTGATCTATAGATGCTCCAAAGTAGTAACCACTGCTTCGCTGCACGCTGCATATTATCAAATGTTAGCAGTTTCCTCACCACAGTCCTTTCTCTGCTTGTTTCTGATCATTATGCACAGCCAGTGCACCAAAACAGGGCCAACAAACGACCAGCCTGATGTTTTTGTTTCTGAGCACTTTGCCTGTAATTGTTGCAGCAGGAGGGCCATTAAATGCTCTTTCAGCTGGGGGTTTCCTCAGCTGTTCAGTTTCAAAACACTGATGTTCTAGTCATAAAACAATCTCTGCAGCAGACTGCAGTATGTAATCTCTCTGTAATGTGTGTTTTGAGACATTTTGCGTTGTTTTGTCCCAACAGAGACAGACTCAGCAGATCCTCTGAGTTCCTTACAGTTCGTGAGTGACACGGTTTTCCTCGCCGGCTGCTGTAACGGGAGTGTTTACGTTGCCGATACTCGGACGTCTGCTCCTCCTCAGCTTTCACATTCACCATCTTCAGACGAGTCTGTCATCTGGTGGACGGATGCTGCTGCAGGTCCACATCCGTCCAGCCGCAGGGTCATCAGAGTCTCCTCGTCTGGACAGGCGGTGGTTTCAGACTTGAGAAATCTGGGAGGGGCGGGGTGTCAGGCTCAGCTAGACGTCCAAACACCAGGCCGCTGCAGCCAGGTCAAAGTGTCGTGGGCTCCAACACTGGATGACTGTATCTCAGTGTCAGGTCAGTTTATACAAACAGTTTTTTTTCAGATGTTGATGTTTTCTGTAAGTGATCACGCTGAAAAACCCTGTTTTATCTGCACACTGATTAACTAAATAATACTAAGTAATCTGTCACACTTGCACAGATGTATATTATATGATGTTTCTGTACCAATCTCAGGATCTGCAGAAACTTCAATCTTTAGGAAAACTACATTGGCTTAGCTCAGCTAAACAGTGATGAGCAGCATACTTGGCTCTGTTCAAACTGACACAAATTTAATTTGAGCTTTAGATTTGATAAATACAAAAAATGACATAACTTACAATTTAATTTCTTGACATCCTATTAATCAGGGTGTTTTTCATTGCTGTGAGAAATCTCACCTTGGGCTGCTGAATCAGCTTCTCCTTTCCCTCCACCTTTCTTTTCTTATTTTCTTTTGTTCACCCCATCAGCTGTAAAAGGCTGACAGGGTATTGGTGTCACCCTAGCAGGTGGGCAGGCAACAACTCAAGAGTGAAGCTACGTAGTCATTCCAAATTCTGATAAACCTGTCGCTGTTATTATTATTGTTATTATTAGTAGTCATATTATTATTAGTATTGTTACCTTTTATCTCAAAAAGATTTGAAAGAGTAGTTGTAAAACTGCTAACTAATCATTCTCAGAGGAATGGCTAATTTGAAGAGTCAGGCTTCAGAGTTCATAATAGCACAAACAGCTTCATTGAAGGTTACAAATGATCTTCTTATGGTCTCTGACAGTGGACTCTTCTCTGTGCTTGCCCTGTTAGAACCTGAGTGCAGCATTTGATACTGTTGACCATAATATTTTGTTACAGCGATAGCGTTCCACAGGGTTCTGTGCTAGGACCAATTCTTTTTTTGCATTATACATGCTTCCTTTAGGCAGTGTCACTAGAAGGTATAGCATACATTTTCACTGCTATGCAGATGACACACAGCGTTATAAAACACACCAATTAGTTAAACTGTAGGATTGTCTTAAAGACATAAAGACCTGGATGACATCTAATTTTCTGCTCTTTAATTCAGAAAAAAACTGAGGTTATTGTAATATGGTATCTAACCTGACACTTACTCTAGATTGCATTACCTTGGCCTGCAGTAACAGGCAGGATATGTCCTTCAACACACATATTAAACAAATAAATAGAACTGCTTTCTTCTATTTGCACAATATCTCTAAAATTAGAAATATTCTGTCTCAGAGTGATGTTATGAAACTAGTTACTTATTACTTCTAGGCTGGACTACTGTAATTTGTTATTATCAGGATGCCTGGGCTTACTCGTAGTTCCTAGGGTAGAATGGGAGGCAGAGCCTTCAGCTTTCAGGACCCTCTTCTGTGGAACCAGCTCAGAGTTTGGATTTACTTTTAAGAGAAGGACCGATATGAAGAACTCTGGTTAGAGTAGTGGTGCTGTGACAAAGACCTGGATAAGCTGCAGAAAATGGATAGCTGTCCAATTGTTTTGTGGAATGAGTTTAATTTGGACCTCTGCCTAGATGTAATTTGATGTTAACTTTATAAAGACCCAACAGTAACCCTGCGAAGCTGTGATGTCAAATACTCATCTTACAATTCAGCTGATGTTGATATTCATTATGCGCTCTTCTTTTAGTGGGGCTAAATAGAAGAGTGTCAAGTTTGAGGAACGGGCTTAGGGCAAAGAATTCAATTAAAATGTATCCAGTAAATACATCTTGCAGACTGAACTGACTAACTTAAAACAAAAGATGAAGAAAACTCTAATTTTGTACTTTTTTTTTTTTCCCCTTTTTCTTTTGATGAACAGCTTTGGCTGATTTTTCTGCAAGTATTCGTAGAGAAGTAACCTTTTTGATATTAAAGAGACCGTGTGACCTTTACTGTAATGCCACCTTCAGGACAAACTTGACATTTTCAGCCTCACTTGTGGGGAAAATGAATCACCGTAGCCTTTCAAGGCCACTAGTTGGCCTTTGTAATATTAAAAGTACTATAGTGATGGGTGTAAATAAACCAGGCGTGTACACTGGCTCGTGCAGAAAATAATAGGGGGGGGAAAAAAAAGTGTCACGCTTCAAAGAACAGAAAATAACCAACATGTGTCACAATGTGTTGTGTAGGATAACATAGCCTTACCTCATTTAAGAAAGAAACAGCCAAAGCAGCATCTATTTCTAGACTGTTGCTGCTAATGTAAACATTGTCTGATATGAGGAAGTTCGATTTCAATGAGATCTGCCTTGTGAATTGCTCATTTAATGTTTGGATAAAGATTTTTAAAATTGTCTGTTACGGTTCTCAGTCATCTAGGTCATCGTAGTCTAAGGAGCTTGGAAAGCGAAGCGTGTGGACTTCTTTAAGTTTTCTTGAAGACGTTTCACCTCTCATCCGAGAAGCTTCTTCAGTTCTAAGCACAAATGGTGGAGAGTCCCAGATTTTAAGCCTTATGGGAGTGTCCGCAAGAGGGTAACGGACCCTCTATTGATCCTCTATCTAATCACTTTAGCCAAGGTGTGAAAATGGGTGTGGGTCACAATCAGCCAAGGTTTCGGGTGGACCCATAGTGATACCTTGGCCATATGAAATCATGTGCTTTCAAATGGTTAAATGGCCCAGGACGTGAGTGGGCGTTAAGGCGTCTGGGCAGGGATCTCAAAACTGGATTATAGATGGAAGACAGTTGGTGTCGTAAACCACCGCCTCTGTTCAAAAATGGTCGCTCACAGTGGACATAAATGGCTTCGTTCACTCCTTTCAAACCATCGGTCTTCTCTGTCCAAAATGTGAAGATTGGCGTCCTCGAAAGAGTGACCTTTAGATGCAGATGGACCGCCGAGTCTTGCCCGTGGAGGTGGCTCTTCCATGTTGTGCCATGCGTTTATAAAGTGGCTGTTCAGTCTCTGCAATGTAGAGTTCTGAGCTTTCCTCTCTGTACAGTGCAGCGAGGAAAACTCAGACCTCATTATTTGCATCACGTCACAGTGGAGCCCCCAGCATGACTCAGGATTGAGTTACGGTTCTGTGTAGGTGCATGGAGGTGCATGTGCGTAGGTTAGATGCTGACTGGTTGAAATGATTTGAACAGTCATGTAAAAGAAGACACGGAGGAAGTGAAGTGTTTTACAAACATGGCCTCTGAAATTACTAACAGAAACATCCAAAGATTGAAAGGATGTACTGGCAGATTTAATAACTCATAAATTTCAATCGGGGTAGCGTTATTGAATTCTTCCAGCAGCAAAGCGCCGTGAAATGTTTTCATCACTGAGCATCAACGAGAGAATGAGAAATCTGTCATCACTATTTTGTAAAGGCTTCTGCTTGTGAAGGTCTTGTTTTCATACTTTTGAAGACGTTGCCACAGTGACCTCAGTCTTATAACAAATTAATTATGGGCCTCTTTAGCATTTCTGAACCTGCATGAGAGCCAGTGACATGAATATTGGTTTACAGCTCTCTTTAAAAATACAAATTAAATCTGTGAATCTGACGTGCAGCACAGTCTTGCAGACTATATGATTACCAATAGAAAAACATTTCATTAGGTAAGCGACTGCAGTAGAGGCCTTCATTTGTGTGCTAATTGTAATTATCAACTCTGTTTATAGCAATCAGATGTAAGTATAGTAATTTGTCACAAAAAGGCAAAAACAAGATGATCAAGGGGCTTAAAGTCTACAGTCAACATGTGGGTGTCTGCAAAAATGAAAGTTCAGTTTGTTAACAGACTAATGCTACCATTTCAAAGTAAGTGGATAAGTTAGTTATAAGTTTCTTGACTTCATAGTTGTTGAATGATTTGAACTTTTAGCACAATATTATCCTAACGAAGAGAAATGTGGGTCAGAAAGAAGCCTTTTAAAGTTTCTGCCTTCATCCTCATCAGGTTTCAGTGGCGTTGTTCAGATCTACAACACCTGTCTCTGGGGGGCGGAGCCGCAGGAGGCTCGACCGCTGTTTGAGCATCGCGGTCACGCAGTTTCATCACAGCAGACTGATGACAGCGTTCCCACCGTCGTCACCTCCCACATCTGGCACCCCGAGCGGCCGCGGACGCTTCTGTCTGCAGCCTCGGATGGCTCCGTCCACGTCTGGGACTGGGTGGACCCCGATCGACAGGGTGGGAGCCCAACACCATGAACAAAGTGAAGGATCGCCTGGGACGAGTAAGATGATAGAGCCATGTTATAAATTACTGAGGCACTGCTCCACAAACTGATGTGTCTCAGTAAAAAGGATCAATCGTCTTTTTATGATCAAACTGGAATATGGTTAAAGAAACAATTTAGAAGGAAAACAAACTGATGGAAATGTGGAACTTGTTTCATGAGAATCAAACTGATCTTTGCCTTTAAATTACAGAAAAATTGCTGGAATGAATTCACAGCTGTTGGCGGTGACTGCTCTCATTTAGGAACAAATTAAAGCAGATGACTGTCGGGTTCGATTACACAACATATTTGTACTGCAGTTTTTATAAGGTGATAAATGTTTGTACCTCGGATGGCTGGGCCAGAACTACAAAACGTGAATTATGTTTTCATTAACTGTGTTGATGCTGTAAAAGTGGCATTTTGTTTACTTCTCAGTGCAAACGTGACCAACAATCTGCTGTTTAGAGTCTGTCTTTTGGCCTTGCTTTAACCCAGGTACTGAGCAGCAGGACCCCTGCTTTTAAGCACTTAGAGCCCAGCACATGAGTACCACAGGCCACCGATAGCTCTCGAGATGGACGACTGAAACAGTTGAAAGCTTTCTCCATAGATGTCTAAAGGTTGGCACTGACTCAGGACCACATCCAGATTTGGATGGCTATTTTTAAACCACTTTTTCACTTAATTAGCTCTTGCAGATAAACTGTTTTTAAAGATCATGAAAAACTGCAAACCTCGTTCCCTTTTTTTCCAGTCCTCATTTTGGTTAGACGATTTTACAGTCTGATTATTTCAGATTTTAGTGAACTGACACTTGAAACGCGAGGTGGAGACCATTTCCTCTGTTCAAGTTTCACTTCTGTCTTGCATTTTGTTTAGTCTCTCTAAATGACATTTATCTCAGCTACAACTTTCTGCATTCGCTGGAAAATACTGAGACTACATGGGGGGGAAAAAATAAAAAATTAGGAAAGTGCATCTCCCTTTTTATAAAGAGTTCCAAAATCTGAAAACATCTGTGAGACGCCACATCTGCGACGCAGCGATGTAGCAATAACAGTGAGTGAACTGTTGAGCACAGATGAGGATCCCGAGGCCAGATTTTAGTTGAGTGAAGCAACTGCAGCTCAAGTCAGGAGAGTTTTTCAGAGTTACTCCTGACTCATCTTTGTTTTCATTTGCAGAAAAATCGCAATTTCCCGTTCAGAATCAAGGCCAACCTTTTTAATGAATACATTTTGTTAAAATTATAATATCATTACAGCAGGACAAATGATCTTTAAACCTTTACACAGGAGGCCTTTCAGTATTTACCGAATATGAATGTGATGAAGGTAATATATAAAGGCAGAAACAACTATTTGACTAGAAGTATCAGACAAATTGAGGTTACAGTTGCTGAACTATAAATTAGTTTCTAAATTTAGATGAATTCCTAAAACCTTTTTCCTCCTGACTGCTCTAAAACCCACATACCTGCTGAGCTCTCATCATTTGTTCCCCACTGAACTGAGTCCACTGTCTTTGTCTCTTTGTCCACAGAGTCAGTGGCCAAGGTGCCAAATTACAAAAGATCTGGACTGAGAATCAGTGGCAACAGGAAGTTTTTGGTTCAAATGCTTATCAATATGTACAGAGGTGGTCAGGAGAGTGAGTGTCTGCAGCTAGCTGTAAAACACAGTTAAGGCTCTGTCGTGACTCGGGTCTGCTTTTTAGCCACTGTAAATATTGATGGAATTAAAACACCAGATTCTAATACACCATCAAATAAAATCAATTTTTTGGCATGAAAATGACCCCAAACACACTGCTAGTGCAGTAAAAGCATAACTGAATAGAGAACACAGCGGATTCACGTCCTCAGCATTATTGAAGCAGTGTGGGAAAAGAAGAAAAGGCAGCTAACATCTACAGAAGAGCTGGCCCACGGAGATTCAGATACTATTCATTTCAAAAGCCTGCTGAGAGAAAATGCACAAATATTTTTCCAGAACGTTGGAAAACGTTTTCTCTTGCAGCGTTTCAAACAGATTAATGAGGAAAACCTCAGAGCAATCAACATGCCCTGAGCTAATAGTCACGGGAGTCAGTCTCAGTCTTTTTTAAGAACTTCTGACTTTAGAAATTTGCCTAAAGATACCTTTTGATCATTAGATTATTTTTATGACTATAGATTATTTATCTAAGGCAACGATCCTAGAAAATATCCCCCATCTGACTCCTCAGAGCCCCAATTCCCTGATGCTCTCCCACAGGCAATAAAATGATTTTTCCCCTTTCCTTTTCCTTCTTTTCACCAGTGAACATCAAAGAAATGGATACAAAAGCAGGCAAAACTTAATTTCATACTTTACTGCCTTCTTTCTTGCCCGTTGAACGCATCATTAGACTCCCCTCGGACACTAACGTCACCAAATAATGAAAAATTGCAGCTCTGCCCCGAAGCGAACTCCAATTTCCTCCTAAACCTTCGTGCCTTCCATCAGTGCACTACTCGCCTCAGTCCCAGGTGAACAAAAATCACATTTTTAAAAACGCTACCCCTCTTTCTGTTCAATCTTAAGCATTAGTCAAACTATTTTTTTTGTCCAGCTAGTTTCTTTGCCCTTTACAACAACTTAGAAACTCCCTCTTACCCAACAGATGGCTCATTCAAAGACAGCCGGCATCAAAATAAACCACGGAGCTGGCAGATGATTCATTAAGGATTCATCTCCACTTTGCTTTCTGCCTCCAAAGTTGTACCATACACTTGTCTCTTCTGGTATCTTAGTGCCCCTGCTAAAGGTTTCATTTCATGACTTTCTCTACTCGACAGCGTGTGAGAGTAAAGCGTTTGTCTCTCTCTGTAAGCGGCAGATCTCAGTGTCTCTGCTGCTTGACATCTGAATTCCTGTTAATACTTTTCCCAGCAGCTCTTGAGCATATTGCAGTTTCATAACCCAGAGGCATGCTCTTTTTTTAAACTTCTATCACTCCTCTGATAATAACAGCACTACCCACCCGAGGCTTTGGAGTGTGAAGACTCACAATTAACGCTGAGGTTGTGGGACTGATAGCAACAGGCTGAAGAGAAGCTGCAATTTCATCTATTTGATATTGCTGGGACTTTTTTTTTTTTTTTTAAATTCTCCATTGATGTATCTACTGAATATATGACAGTCCTAATTGATCATTTGTCATTCATCAAGAAAAAAAAAACAAATTCTTGTTCCAGCTTTTAAAATATGGTAATTGCTTCTGGATCAAGATGTCATCTTGAGAGCTGGGATGTGCGATTGGTGTTTTTCTGACATTTGAAGCGAGTAATTCACTTATTTGTCACAAATATGGAATAGCTTTATCAAAATCGAAGTGACTCATTTCTTGCAGCCCTAAAATTATTCTCAAATGTTGCTTGAAGGATATGTCAGGAGATTTAAAGATTTCCCTTTAACAAACTCCAAATGCCTTATAAATATAAATATAGTTGTAGGTGCCTTGGCCAAACTAAATCTCTTAAAATTACAGGTATAAACAGAATAACACATAACGAAAGTTTGGCAGAAGATTTGAGAAATGCAGTTCTGAAATTCTAAGTGAATGAATCTGCATTACACCCATGTTCATCATTGTTTCCAAGGATACAATGAATAAATAATGCTGCACAGATGCTCTAAAAACTGTTCATTTTCATTTCTTTCATGTTTCAAAAAAACAAAACAAAAAAAACTAATACATTGGGCAATAATATTATACTGAGATAATAATATACTGAATAACACTGGTAGCAACAGCTACTCTGATTCTATGGCTTAGTTCACCTGCGTGTGGTATTTATGCTGGCTATTCATCATATAGCTGTTCATTATATAGCACCAAACTATACAACAACAGCTGCCTCAGAGCACTAAAAAACCCTGAAAATCAAACTATCCTCTTAGAGCAAGCACTTGGCAACAGTGGGAAGGAAAAACCCCATTTAACTGGAAGAAACCTCCAGCAGAATCAGGCCCAGAGAGGAGCAGCCGTCTGCTGCAACCAGTTGAGGGTGAAGCTAGTAAGACAGGACAAGACAAAAACACAATTAAGCGCACAGTGGCGTGTGAACACACAGAGAGCAAACGAGTGCATCATGGGAAACCCTCAGCAGCCTAAGCAGTGGAGCTAAGGGTTGTAAACTAGATGCTTTATCAAAAAGGACATTTTTATGGCTAATCTACAGACGGGGCCTGAAAGCTAAACGTTCTGCATCCAGTTTTACTTTTTCCATGTTGGTATATTTCATGTAAATCCATCCATTTTCTTACATGCTTATCAAATTCAAGGTCACAGGTGGCTTGAGCCAATCCCACCTGAGAACACAGGTCTACGTTAGACAGGCTGCCCACTCATCACAGAGCTAACATGATCAACATCATCCAACCCTAGTTAACCTAACATGCATGTCTTTGGACTGTGTGGAGAGCTCGATTGTCTAAAGTGATCCATGCAGCCATAGGGAGAACATGCAATTTGTAAAATGATGATAATAGTAATAATAAAATGATCATAATCCCAAATATTCCGAATGTAATGCTCCAGTTTGGTGACAAGTGTGATTAATGTTTGAGATTTCTGCTCAAAACATGGATATCTACTATAAAAGCCCATTTACCCCAGACTCGTGTTTTTTGTTTTGTTTTTTTCAATAAAAACCCAAACACAGCCAGCTGACACACAACAGATGCACACGCTTGGGATATGAAGTATTTCTTAAGTAAAGAGTGAATTTATTCTAGTCCAGCAGATGCTGAGGAGCTGTGGGGAGAAAGCTGGAGACTCAAAAATAACAGCGTGGAAGAGAGAAGAGCACAGACATAGGAAAATATAAATATATAAGAGTAGAAACAGACCAGCCGTAAGACTGAGCACGCTCTGTTCAACCATTTAATTAAAGCTGAACATGTTTGTTTGGCGGCAGCCCACTGAAAGCTTCTCTTCATTACATCATCAGACAACTCAGTTTTTCTGAAAACACAGAGGGAATGACATGGTTAAAAAGGTACACAAAAGGTTCAACAAGGTGTTGTAGGTATATTTGCTTCTATTGCTTCATATAGTTACATTTTCATTCAAGGCTTCCTCGGAGAAAACGTGTTTATTGAACCTTCTGACAAAAATAGGAGTTTTAATTTGCTACGGCCAACGTTTTTCTAGATCACACTGATGTAGAAGCCTTGAAACCCCTTGAAAATTTGGGTATCAAATATGATAAACTTGGTGTTACAGGATTAATAACAGATCAGATTTTTTTCCATTTACATACACTCACCAGCCACTTTATTAGGTACATGTTGCTGAAGTGGACTGCCTTAATTCTTCAACAAAGGTGCTGGAAACATTACTCAGAGATGTTGGTCCATATTGAAAAGAAAAAAAAAATAGCGCCATGCAGTTGCTGCGGATTTGTTAGCTGCACATCCATGATGCGTAGCTCTCGTTCCACTGCATCCCAAAAGTGCTCTATTGAGTACAATGAACTCATTGTCATGTTTAAGACACCAGTTTGAGATGATGTGAGCTTTGCGACATGGTGCACAAGATATGGTCATACCTTGTGTGCCTAATGGTCAACAGCAATACTCAGGCAGGCTGTGGTGGTTAAATACTGAATTTTGACCATTGCATCTGAATGTCGCAGCAGGAACTGAAACTTATGAGACCAGGCAATCTGCCACCGTCCAGTTTTGCTAAGCTTGTAGATTCAGTTTCCTGTTCTTAGCTGAGAGAAGTGACACCCCAACTGATTGTTCTGCTGCCAAAGTGCTTCAGGGTTTGACATGTTGTGCTTTCAGAGGTGCTCTTCTGCATACCTGTTAGCTCAATACCCTCTGACATCAACAGAACTGCTGTTTACTGGGACCATTGATCCCAGAGATGGCTGTGTGGGGAAAAAAATCCCAGCAGTTTGTGAAACAGCCTCACCATTTACAGAGTCACGTAAACATGTAGTAATGCTACAAAGTTTTTCCAAAAGGTTACATACATTTATTATTGTCCTGACAGCAAGATTTAATAAACAATGTATGTAGGAAAAACTAACCTGTTTTCTGAGTGACCTTAAACTTAATTTGAAATTTTTGTACCCTTCAGCCGTTGCTCTCTTGCACTGATCTGCTGACCGGGCTGCTGGGAACGAAGTGTCAGGGATGGGCCGTCAGTGTCCACCCACTCAGAAACTGCCACTAAGAAAACATCAAAATGAGGGGTGCTGTCATGGCCTTCATTCTGTCAATTACAATTTAGACAAATGAAAATAGTGACCTCCCACACAGCCTCTTTGCATTTCCATAAATGGAACCAAGTTTACATTCACTGAGTCTACAAGCTCGTTGTTTCCATGACTTCCTTGTTCTATACACCTGTCAGCCAGATGTGTTTCAGACAGTCTCCCTGAATGACAGTTTTGACTACATGGGTACCACAGAGAGTCTCTCTTTCAGTCAAAATAAACCCCGGTTTCTATTAATGGCAAAAAAAAGTATAATGAAAACCTCTGAAAGAAGTTTTGACTCTTGACTCTGTGTTTGTGTTTGTGAAGGCTAAACTATACAGGCAGACGGTGAGGAGGCTTTTGAAAGGACCCGGGAGACGGTAATTATACTGACTGACAGAAGAGTGTGCCGTGAGCCTGAACTCTCTCATGGCCTAATGACGCCACAGCCATTATAACATCTTCACCAAGAGATCCCAATGAGTCACGCCTATTCTCTGACACTGGAACATCGCAACACCTGTGTGCGAAATCGAGCTTAAATGGAAATCTGCCTACATTTAAGAGGACACTTGTGGCCCCCTGAGAATGACTGACAACTGGCAATTTAGATTTAATGGACCATAAAGCTGCTACCTACCTGTGTTTAGACCTCATATCACTGTTGAACATAATCTGAATGATTTCAGCTGTTAGTTTATTCCCCTGACAAAGGCCCAGAAAAATAAACCAGCACAATTTAAACAATTTTAATAATTTTCCTGCAACAAGAATGTGTTTCGAGTAATGTGAGCAAAATCTCATCTTAATTAAATCTGTAATTATCTCATTAAAGGATAAACAATTTCCTGTCCTGCCAGTCAGCAAACACTATGATGATATTTTACACCAAAGACAGTGTATACCCGCTGCAATTAAAAAAATATTTATCCAAGTACGCCTGCAGCCAGCAGAGAACTCTACATTAAGTACAGGGGCCTTCACGGAAGTGCACAAATTTTGGACTGAGACCTGACTGAACAGCATCTTCAATACACATGTTCTTTATAGCCTAGGACAGCTAATCAAAAGGCATCCAGAAAGACCATAAAGCTGCAGGTGCAAAACAGGAAGTTCTCACAGGACTCTATTCTTGAGCTGTCGAAGAAATGGCCGGAGATATGAATCTAGAATGCTTTTAGTTGACCACGAACTCCTCTGCATACCAAAGGCTACGATGTTCCCAGGTCCTGTGGCTGCAACAACCCAAATCTTCACCCCTCTGGTACCATGCTTGTCGATTAGCATGAAGCATTTGTCTTGATATGCTGTGTTTAGTTTTTGCATAATGATGAAACATCTGTCCAAAGCAGATCTCTAGTCAGACCAAGTCTTGTCTTTGCACCACTTCCAAGCACTTTGCAACTTGTTCTCTAATGTGCGCTTTTCGCTTATTTTTGTATACATTTCTCTTGTTTCGACATATCCCTCTTGATTGTGTACATTTATTCCTGCTGTACAGTGACAATAAAGGGCTATTCTATCTTCTATTCTGTTATATCAATTTAGTGGTCTGCCATGTTATATTAGGGTTCCAACTTTTTTCCCAGCAATGCTTTCAAACAAGCTGTACTTGTTCAATCTTTATCCAATTGTATTATCATAAAAGTCTGAGCTATAGCTCTTGGGATGTTTTTGCAGTTCCTCTGAGCATTGCATGGTCTGACTTTGGTCCATTCCTTAACAGACACCTGAACAAAACCAGCAAACCACGAAAAGTTCTGGTTTTATAGAAGTGATCACGCTTGCTGATCAAGTATACTTGCTTAGCAGGTTAGCTGATACTTATCTCTTAATTCCTACAGAAGCAATAAGAGTGTATTTAGTCTTTCAAAAGGCATTAAAGAGTCTTGTTAAAACCTTTTTTCTCCCCTCCACCACAGGACTGTATAGCTCAGAAAGAAAGATAAAGGAGAACTACTTCAACGGTGCCACATGGTGCCAGCAAGTTTCTGTGACCGTGCCAAGTTTTACTCTTTTTCTTTTCTTAACATGAAAGTCATGTTTAGTTAGTGTTATAATACACTGGCAGAGATCAGTGTGCACTGCAGAATAACAAGTGCACCGTGAACCAAAAAGTACTTCACATTCAGCTCCATATGATAATTTTTACAGAATTTTTTTTTTTTTTAAAAAGAAACCATAGTTCAACTGCTCAGCCTTACCAGGACACAGAGAAAGCCTTTAACACAGTCAAAACCATAACAAAAGAACATTTTCTGTGTCGGTGTGAATCCGGCCCGTCTGTGAATGAGCTCCTGATTGGACTCTGTTCTGCAGAGTGTGCCGCGGAGAGCTAAGCCGTGTGGGTAATAAGTGGTTATCAAACAGCCATTATACTAGAAGTAATTTCAGCCCAGTGTCATCAAGCTTTAATATGAAAATGCTGCTTAAAGAAATCACAGCCAACCACCAGTAACGACTCATTAATCACCCATCAGCCTCACTGTTCTCCAACAAGGATGATCTCCATTTAAAATAACATTCACAACGATTTTTTTTTCTTAAAAAACAAAAACCCAAAAACGTTTGTTGGCAGGAGTGGGCGCCAATTTACATTCAAATTTTAGATGAATATTGTGTTTTATTCAATGGAGAGTTAAATATTACTTTAAATTCCAGTTTTCTATTCATATTTATTTTTCTTGGCGAGGTAAAAGTCTTTCAGTTTTGCTTCTCCACTTGACCTTTGCAAAGTTTCAACTCATACCTCAGAAAAAAACAAAATGAAATGCAATGACCTCAGTGTGGAGTACAGAAAAAGGACAATCTTAAAACTTTTAAACAAACGCAAATCAATAAAGTCATCAAATAGTTAAGCTCCCCAATCTATTGATGCGTGCTTCTGAATATGAAATATTCTTCACTTCTCATATCTACTGCTTCCTCCAGCAGGCACCAATAAAGAGCCAGTACGTCTTTTTCAACCACATTTGCTGAACAGTCATCACGAATGTTAAGCAGGATGGTGCACACGATAACGTTAGGCGGAGCTTCCCAGAGGACTGGAGACTGCAACGGCTTTATATTGATGTTAATGATTTCTAATGACAGGCCTGAATTTATTGGTTTAAAGTCTGAAGGACTTTCAAACTTCATGATAAATTACCACTTGTTCTGGTTTTATATTACATCTTTAAAGAAACAAACCCTTCTATTTAATATTTGATTGTTATGAACTGAGCATCTCTGGTGGGACATTGTGATGATCATTTAGTTAAAGTACCAATAAAAAGAAAAAAGAAAGACGCTCAGATGAGCTTAGAGCATTTCATTTCCAATTTTCATTCAAGCTGCAGTTCTGGTTTTCAATTTCAAAAACTGTGTCAACATTTAATTAAATCATTTCCAAGCCAATTTAATTTAAGGCCTCGCACTAGAGACATCTGTACAGCTCTGGGAACATGTCTACTCTAACAGAAGGTCTTATTTATAAAACTGATGATCAATATTGACTTGAGTAGAACCCATGTACAAGTTACTTAGAAAACCTTATTTTGAAATGGAAACTCCTAGAAAAGTCATCTTCGCACTCTTGCAGTTTCCACTGCGAGACTGAAAGCTTTATGAACAATGTGATAGGAATGATAAAATACATAGAAATGAGCAGAAAAAGGTCTGTCTTCCCATTTTTTTATTCATGGACTCCACTAGAGTAGTACTGCGTGACTTACAAGTCAAAATAATCCCTGTATAGGTCAAACAAGGACTCAGTTCCCCCAGTTTGTGAAACAAGTTGCTTAACAAACTTTCTTCTGATTGGCTGTCCCTGAGAAGAGCATGTGAGCGGGGTTTGTTTTGCTCAAAACTCAAGCTGTATGCCTGAGATGGCAGCAACTCAATGCATTTATGCATGTAGACATGGTCAAAGCATCAGTCAGAGTGGGGTAAAAAAAGCAATTTAAATGACTGAGTGAGGCATGGTTGTTGGAGCTAGACTAGCTGATCTGAGTATATTTAGAAACTGCTCACCTACTGGAATTTTTCCCACTATACAACAATCTCTACAGTTTTCAGGGAATGGACCAAAACGCAGAAAATATCCAGTTTTTCAAATGTGAGAGGAGAATGGTCAGACTGTTTTGAGTGGAGGAAGGAAGAAAAAAAAAAAAAGCTTCATCCTGTTTAAAGGGGTTTTTCCTTCCCACTGTTGCCAAGGCCTCAAAGGGTTTTAGATTGTTAGTTTTCCATTTAACTTGGTAGACTCCTCACTCTGCAGTAGGTGCCTTGAGATTACTGTTGTTGTGAATTGGCGCTACACAAATGAAACTGAAATCACCAGATTCATTTATTCAACATGTTTTGTATTAAGAGTTCAGGCTGCTGGTGTTTGTGTAGTGGTCTGGTGGACCCTTCACTATCACACTTTGAGCCCTTAAAAAAAAAAAAATAGAGAGTGGGCAGGCGCAAACTGTGCCCGCACAGCTCTTTAGCTCTCCCAGCTAAGCAGGACTCTTATCTACTTTTACCTCAAAGCCCTTTTGGGCAAAATCTGTCACAAGGTCTTGGGTTTATCGGGTGGTGGGGAGGGAACTCTACATGAATAAATAAATAAATATATATATATATATATATATATAAAATAAGGGAAAGTAGGTCTCCTTATATATATTTTTAATACAAAACTTTATGAAGACTTTCACCATGAGGTGGCAGTATTTTACCAAAACGTATCCACCTCAACCAACATTAACTTCTTCGGTGTACTTGTGAAGTTTTCGTGTTGCCATCTTGAAACTAATTCCTAAACTTCTGACTAATCTGATGTTTCTGTGTTCAAGATTTTAGAAAGTGTGTCATTTGTGCTTTTCTACTTATCAAAATAGGTCAGCTAATCTTTGCTGCCATTGTATTCATGTTGAGCTAACACTTCAGTAAGGATGCTATACTAAAAATGTACATTTAAACGTGCAAGAGGTGACTGGCAGAAAAATGAGTATTGGTGTGTGTGTGTGTGTGTGTGTGTGTGTGTGTCTCTGGGGTTGGGTCATAACTCATTATTTGTACATCAAGTTAGAGCTTGAACTAAATAATTTGCTGCCTAGCTTCAATTACCTCGACCATCACCGTGATCTTGTCTTTCTGAATCTTTGCTTTACTGTTTTGGTCCCTAATTATGCATAAAACCTCATTTGTGCCGGGAAGGGAAACAAGAAACACAGATCACAGCTCTAAGATTTCTGGCCCAAGTTTGTGTTTTTTTTTTGGTTTTTTTTTAATTTAATGCTCAGCATCTTTCCCAATAAACACAAGCATACTGTTTGGAAGGATTAATGTAGGAATATTTTTGTAAATGAGGTCTTTGAAGATTTAATTCCTCAGAGGTATTTAAATTAAACACTGTAATCATGCTGCTCATGCTGCCATTTTACCCAAAGCTTCAAATTCTCCCTTTGTGGTGCTTTGTTTAGTTAACAGTTACACAGATATTAAAGTGTAGCACCCTTTTAATTCATTTGAGGAATATTGAGTAAGCAAAAAGCAGGAAAAGCAGACAAAACTACAGTGTTTCAGCGATTATTGTCAAATAACAGAAAAAAAAATCCTCAAAATGGCCATAAAAAAAACCAAATCACACTATCACCATGAATTAAGTCAATATGATGATTTCTTTCATCATCTCAAGCTGCGTCCATAAACAGGCAAGATACCTGCAAATTAGTGCTCAGTAACAAACTAATCAAATGCAATTATTTCCCCTCTCAAAACTGATGCACAGACTTATTGGATGGTATGGAATCACACAGCAGACCATATCATTTGTCTGACAATCCATTAAAAATGCTCCAAATGGCACAAACGGCATGAAAACAGTGTAGAGGTCCAGTTCAGTTACTCCAATTAGCAGAGGTGACGCCAGCAGTGATTGGCTACAGTCCTGAAACCTGCCAATCAAAGCAGCCACACTGCGAACTCCACCGTCCAGGTGTATGAGTAAGAAAATATCAGCTCCCTATACAGTGGTTACGAAGGGAGGAAACTATCATTACAGGCCTAATATGCATTGGACCTGGCTTTTTTTATGCCCTAAGGTTGGTCATTTTAACCAGGAAGTCTCTGAGGATGGATTTGCTTTTGGAGTCAGCCTCGAGCAGCCACTGAGTGCAGTTTTTGGCTCTTTTGCTTTTGCTCCATTTTTCAGTTTTAGGGGTTTTCACTTGGTCAGATCAGACCCATCTCTGAAGCCTTCATTTTGATTTCAACAACATGCCTGTGAACTTATCTTCCACAGCTGTGATGCTATCACTGTACAAGATTTTCAAGGTGCTATAATGTCTCAGAATATCATCATCTACAATGACCCTTAAGAAAGGAAAACAAATTGGATATTTGCTGCAGAGGTGCAAAAAAGGAGGGCAGATAATGATGAAGCAAATTTGCAGATGCATTATTTATTATAACCACTGTGTTCAAAAATGGTAAGGTTGACAAATGCGTCCAGTTTCAGACTCCATCCAGTGTTAAGTGAATCGTTACTGGCAGAGCCCGCGGCCTCAGTCTGACCTGGAGTTATATCACCCAGCACCGGTGTAACACAGGATTGATATCTCTTTAAAAATAACCATCATGATTACTGCTATTACACTCCATTATCAGCTTACTAATAGCAACTGCTTGCTTTGATTACTTGTCACTCACAGGGACGCTGCAGACAGTGCAGTCTTTAAGGCAGACCTAAGCTCAGTGTAAGGTGATCAACTCTCTCATGACTTTCATCTGGAGAGAAATAAATATCACATCGCGAGGGATCATCCGAGGGTGCAGTGTTTGTCTCGTAGATGAGGTGAGAGGAAGAGAGAGAAACCAGACACTCGTGTCTGCCTTCAGTCTGATACTCATCCATCACCTCTTCTTTAAATAATCCTAACTCACACAATGTTAAATTAGCTCTTTCTCTTCAGAACTTTCAAAAATAAAAAGCACCTTTATGGCCTCATGCAGCTCTCCTCACTGTTAGAGGAGTTTGTAAAACAATATTTCTATTTTGTGGAAAGTTTCTACTCCACCACATCTCTGTAGTGCATCCCAGCTGTCTGAAAGTTTTAGATACTTCATGTACAAAGACATGCTTAAAAAAAAACAAAAAAAAAAAACAGTGTTGGTTATCATTGTATATATGGTACTAAAAACGGTGTGCTAATGCACCTGCTATCATTTGATAGCTACAGCAACCAGGAAACATGGGCAACACACGGGCACAGCCGGGCCTACTGTATTTATATGATCACTTTTAAAAGATGCCTCTGAAGCAAGAAGGTGTTTTCTTCTTTAATACCTCGACTCCTCGGTCCTCATGCCAATCAATTTCTTTACCACCACTAGCTGTCCAGTTTCCTCAGATTCTTTAGGTTCACAAGGTACATCATGCTGCAATAAATTAGCCAATAATTGCCAATCAAGGCTTGTTTTCCCACTCATGCTTATGCTTTCAGAGTAATGAAATGATAAAAAAAAAATATTACTGTTTGTATTAGGGATGTATAAATATTGGTAAGATATTAATGTTCCCTTTCTGTTCCTTATTCTATTTTATTTTAAATCAGAGTCTGGGCTCATATAGAGTTTAAAATGCTTTAGATGTGACTTGGAGAGTGTCAGGAAAAAAAGAAAGAAAAAAGTCACAACCAAAGATCTGAATAAATAATAGAGTGGACCACTTGGGCGGGGTTCTTGATTTTCATATACTTTGTACATTAATGCTGTCATTTCAGAAACCTGTATAGTCTCTGGACACTAAATAGTTAAAAAAAAAAAAATCAGAATCCCGTCACAAGTGCAGCTCATATGAAATCTTAGATAAATATCAAATATGCCCCTATAACCTCCTTGTGCCATTTCTTTTATGCATGGTGGACATTCTAAAATCTTCCCGTGTCTGTATTTATGGTTTTAAATCATTTTTAATGCAAAGCAGGAGTTCTGGCACAATTTTTCCAGGACTTTATGTCACACTTGGATTGGTTTAGAAGAGAGACACTGCATGAAACTGTAGCTGGCACTGAAAGCTACCAGCTGTTAATCTATACAGAGATAAAATAGCAGGAAGGTAATAGGAGATAGTATTCAGATAACCTGGCTACAAACCAATTGCAAAAAAAAAAATCTCTGACAGCAGCAGGTTTGTTCATATCCTGTGTGAACCATAGTTCCCTACAAAACAATATATTACAGAAAATTACAATAAAATCTGTCTATAAGCCAAAATTGTTTAAAACACATGAAACGGTGTAGTAGCCACTGACAAATTCAGAGCATGAAACTGCCATTTAAAAAAATGTTGCAATGGCACATAAAAAAAGAACAAATGACAGGTGGTATTAGCACAATGTGGCACTTAAGAAAATGTTAAACCCCATCCTGTCCATTTGAAACTTTTCTTCATCCACACAACACACAAAACAGCCCCAACAGGTGGTAACACAAAACAGCCACCTTACCTTAGGCCAGGTTAATGCTGCTTTCACATGAGCAAGCTAATCCATGAAGGGGAATCCATGGCAGGTGTCATTTAACTGCAGTAATTGTTTACCTGGCGCCAGGCCTGGTGACGTAGAGCTTTGTTGAACAGGTGAGTGGACTGAGGCTTCTGCCAGCTCTGCTTTGCGATCACACTCCACGATGTGACCTTAAAATCCACCTTTTCAATGCTGCCGCTGTCGATTTCTGCATTTTATTGTGTTAAATCTGTCGTGTAGTATATCATATACAGTCTATAGTAAAGCAGTCTACAGCCCCCTGTGGTGGCCCGCGTAAATGCAAGTGAAACGAACGTTGCATTCAATGCAGCACGTAAATTGGGGAACGAGTAACAGAGCGTTTTTGATCATTTACATCACAGTTTTTTTTATGACTTTTAACTTGTAATGTAACTTTCTTCAGAGGGTGAACTGCATGAAACGACTCAAGAAAAATGTGAAATTTCAAAAATCTTTCACTTTTTCCACATCAGTGTAATCTGCTTTTGTAAATTACAGATGCACGGCGGGCTCAGCTTTGATTCAGACAGCTGCAAAAGTGACAGTTGTTCAAACTTCTGCCTCAGAAAAAATGAGCAGTTTGGACAACCACTCTGACATGATCCATTAATAATGACTTGCTGCAGAGTGCTCTCCAGGTGCAAAGTACAGTCCAAAAATTATGCCCTCTTTCTATGTAATTTTCACTCTTTGCAAAGGCATCCAATGGACCATAATGGACCCTTTGGCAGACAGGCTCTGGCACCCCTGCTGCTTGAGCATTAGTTTCCCTTTGATCCTCAGTTTAATCATGTTTTAGATGAGATATGAATATGACCATGTTTGATTCTAAAAATATCTTGTGTCTCATCCTTGGCTGTACCTTTCACATAGTGCATGTCATTTCTATACAGAGGTCCAGGTGCCATTTAATATAATAATGTTGGCTCTGATAAAATAATTATTTTTTGCTACATTAGATATCTTACAGTGCATAGTTTACATAAAGAATGTGTTGGTGTAGTATTTTTGAGTGTGCACATCAGTAAAAATCATTGTCATGGTGATTAAAGTTGGGCAGGTTCCTTTTTCAGAAACAGTCAGAGCATTTTCTGTCACCTTTTGCTGTTTCATTTTCATTTTTGTACGTAAAGTGTGCTTGATGCACAAACATGCTTTTCATGCAGGGCTTTGTGAAAATTTAAATACTGGAATACCTTCAATTTTGTTTAGTGCAGTTCTAGCAACACTGAGTTCTTATAATTTTCACATTATGCACATTTTATTTTACTGTAGTGAGTATTTTATTCTAAGAAATCAACAACTAAATTATACTTAAATCTATTAAATGTGAATTATTAACTTTTTTATTTTTAAATAATGTAAATAGTATTACTTAAACACAGATAAGGTTTATCATTTTTAAAAACCTAAACTCTTAAGGGTATTTAATAGGAATGTAATCCAAAAAAGAGCATTATACTCATGAGTATACAAAACTGAAATCAGGGGACTAATGCATGAAAACATGCTCACTTATTCCTGATATTGTGGCAGTTGCATATTGTCAGCAGATTAAATGTGCGACCCTTTCTTTTTTCGGACAGCAGGGAAGAGAGTATAAATTAATATTATGGGAGTTAATGTTCGGCTCATGTGTCCTAAAAACAACACCTTTGATAAACAGTTTTATTACTTTCTCACATCATATGACACACAAATATTATAGCCACTACAAAGAATGTTTCAGTAATGCTGTCTAACAGCAGCTAACAGTAGCAAAAACTGCAGCAATTAAAGACAGAATATTTCAGAATATTCTCAACAACTCACCTCAGTATCGCTGCAATCGAGCACATGTTAGCGTCACTGACTCATTGACTCGTATTGAACTCTTTTCTCAGTTTTACAGCCTCCTTCAGAGTAAAAAGAAAAGGACACCGACTTAGGTAAACACAGAGTGATAGCTTACACTCAATACAGATAAACATCAGCCAGAGTTGTGTATCCTACAGAAGCCAGCATAACTAGACTTATGCTCAAATTGGGAGGAGTAAGAAAACAGTACTCAGTTGATTGTAATCTGCAACTTACTCACATCTAGTGATGATATTTTACACACTACTTTTGACTTTTTTCTGCTGATCAAACTTTTTCATATAGATAAAACATTTTTCTTTGAGTAATCTCATCCTGTGCTTTACTTTTCAGCTGTGTGCCATCTCCATTAACATATTACACATCCAGCAGTGGCAGTGCTGAAAACGTCTGATAACTTTGACTGTATTTAATAAATATTAAACACCTGAACTCTGTGTTATGGTACTTCTGAGATTTGCTTTGATAAAGAAGTTGTGTTTGACAGATATTTTAACATATCATAATTTATTCATTATTCCTTCACACACTTACATCTCCTATAGCATAATGGGATTAAAGACTTTTTTAACTGTATGAAGCCTGCAAACTACGTTCCTTTAAAATTTAACATAAAGCTGCTGATTGGCTCCTGCTGTGGCTTTAGTTTATATGAAGACTGTAAAACAGACAACCCTAATAAGAAAGCTTTGAAAAGGATATTCTACATGTTCAATATTTGAAATATCATCAGTATATCCATGCCTTTTTAAATCACTTATCTAATATGGGTAACAGAGTGCTGGTGCCTATCACAGCTAATTTAGGAAGAGAGGTGAGGTACACCCTGGACAATCACAGTCACATCACTGGGCTAACACAGAGGGAGAAATAATCAGTCCCACACTAAAATAATATCAGATATATAGGTCTTTACAGTGTACAGGGAATTAAAAATGCCTGTTGTGAAATAGCATTGCATAAATAAAAATGAACTGAAACTAGCTGGCAAGACAACTCTTTGATTTACACTCAGAAGAGCAATGGAAACTGTGGAAAGCTACAGTTTTGGCTGAATAATCTGCTGACTGACTCCTGCCCCACTGTTTTCACATGATCCTTTCATAGTTTGTAAAGGCAGTCGACAGAAGCAGTGACAGCGATGGATGGCCCGTGAGGATAAATCAGATCAGTAATTTTAAATGCTTTATCTAACTGGAACCAAATTTGGACTAAGTGTACAAACTGAGGCCACAAATAAGAACTGTGCTATAATTAAACATTAAAAAACTAAAAAGTTTGCATACAAATCGCTAAAACTAAAGGACGGAAACATGTTAAGCATTGTTAGATCATTATAACTTATAAACGGCTTGTTGTTACTGTCACAATTTGTGAGAGGACTCCTGAAATCAGGAATCTCGGCAAGTTACACTTAAAAGCCACTGCCAACTGTGATTTAGACGTCGAACAATCAATCTTTACTTTTAAGCACAGGCCACCTCCAGAGCTGAGAGATGAAGTCTGTGCAAAGTGACAACAACTGCAGTTCCTCTATCGGCCACTAGAGGAAAGCCCCAAAAGGGAGTCTATCATAATAGGCTCTTATGTTAAAATGTCCAACTGTACAGCATTAAAAGGTTAAGCAAAAAGTCAAATGTGTTTTGACTTCTATGGATTACAACTCTGCCTGGGGTGATTACTTTTCACAGCTCATTCAGTGGGTAATTGCATCAGGGGTGTGGACCGACAGGCATCCAAACAGACATCTGGAGTCAATCAGCTTCTGCTAGGCTTCATCCACGACCGTCAGTCATTAAACTGTATGATGTGTGTGCTGCTGGGAGCCTTTCAGTGCAATTTTTAATGTATTATCTGACTTATACTACAGCACACTGTATAGTAAACACCATCCAGGATTTAGTGAGTTAAAAACTAGCATTTTATTAGTCTGTCAGCTACTCAGCTGATTAAACTCTGCTGCACTGATACAATTTGTGAATGCAGCTTGTCAACCGAGGCAGTGGCCAAATATAGTGTCCAAAGCCAGTAGGTGACATCACAATGGCTGTGGCCATTTTTATGTTACCCATGCTTTTAAATTAGACCAAAAGTAACAAGAGTGTCCACACGTTACCAGTTTGTTTCCAGTACTGACCCACAGAAATATATTTATTTTTAGATTACCGCATGACATTTGTACTAAACACTATAGTTATAAGGCATTTTACATACATACTGATGTAATATTTCTACAGTATCTACTGAATAATCTATAAATTTAACATCAAATTTCATCTGACTATGTTAAAGTATTATAGTGTAATTAAAATTTCATACCAATTTACTTAGTCTATAGTGTTTATATGTTGGTATAAGAGCTAATTTATAGGGGTTAACACAATGAAGCTACTTTGGGTGCTCCTTTATACACAAGGTGTCGCCACGGTGACTCCAGATGTTTTGTTTGTCAGATTTTTTTTAACCCCTTCCTGACAAAACCACTAATGGAAAAAGCGTGTAAAAATTAATAAATACAACGAGTCATAGAATATGAGATAAATGTGTCTTCAGCTCTTTTTTCTGACTTCTTTTGGGCACTTTTACTGTGCCCTTTAGTCTCCAGGAGTGTATAGGGTGTTTGATTTCTCCGTGCAGCTTTTGATCTTAATCAGGAACTCAGTTAACCACAGTACACTTAGTTCGAGCTGTTTACGTTTCTTTGGTTTTCCTGTTTGTCATGGCTGTGAAGACGAGCTTTTATTTCTTACTGCTGGGATTTTCATACCAAGTTTTCTTTAATAACTACATAACTTAAAAAAAAAAAAAAAAGACACACTCAACAGTAACACACTTTTAAAGATGAAACCAACCTCAGTTGCATTTGTTAGTGCAAAAATCACGTTTAATAATCATGAAATCTATTTTCACAAGATGACCCTCTTATTTTTTCCCAGAAAGAGGTCAAATAAAGACAACACAGGACAATATTTGAATTTTAACCATTACATCATTTATATAAGAGATACTAAAGCAATTCTTAAAGAATTAGTATGAAGATGATATGCCGGGTTACATTCTGATTTAAGCCCTTTTTAGAGAATTAAGATTACCCGCAAAACTAGGAAATAAAACCAACAATGAAATCAAACAGCAACAGAAAACATTTGTACAACAAAACCTAAATCACAAGAAGCAATGAGATCTTTTT